TCAGCTTAAGAGTCTAGACCCTGCCTTAAGCATCGAACACGCTGCGTGTGTTTGTGCAAAGTCTGTGGCGTGGGCGCAAGGAGCGCGCGCAAACCAAGATAATCAAGACCGAACTCCGCGCGACAAGACACGGTGTGAAGGACTTCCAAGCGGCGATCAGAGGCGCTCTTGGCAGATGGCGAGCTGGAGATCTCTGGCACGAAACCAGAGACGAAAAGACTGAAGGTGCGGTGTCCGAGTTCCAGGCGGCTGCTCGCGGTGCTCTTGAACGTATGAGAGTCGGAGGTATTATGAACCAGCTTTGGGATGCCGAAGATGCCATTGCCCAGCTGCAAGGCCTTGCTCGTGGTGCCCAAGCGCGAAGGCAGAAGGCCACTCAGCATGCCGCAGCAAAAGCACAGGCGGTCGAGCTGGTCTCTCTACAAGCCGCTGCAAGAGCAATGATCCAGAGGCGGCAGCAAGCGAACGAGCATGGCGAGAGGAAGTTCGAAGAGCCAAGCATTGTTCAAGCGCAGTCCGCTGCAAGAGGCCTCATCGAACGATTGCGCCAAGCTAGGACCAAAGGCGCACTCCAAGGTCGCGCGGCTGGCATCGTCAAGTTCCAGTCACTTCTACGAGCCCAGGCAGCGAGATCGATGCACATGGACGTCAAGGAGGAGTTGCAAACACAAGATGACAACGTCAAGAGCTTCCAAGCACTAGTTCGAGGTCGAGCTGCGAGATCTACATACCAAGACATTGAGGAGGGCCTGCAAGCGCAATCAGAAGGCATCAAAACTCTACAGTCGTGCGCGAGAGCAATGCTTCAGCGCAGGAGCATAGGCGAGAAACTTGCTGCGCTCGAAGAACAAGAGCCACAGCTCACCAGTGTGCAAGCGATGGCACGCGCGTACGTGGAAAGGCAGCGAATATTCGACCAGCTCGTTGATATGGAGAAAGAAGAGGCCAGCATCACCGATCTTCAATCGCTTGCACGGGCAATGCTTGAGCGCGCACGAATCGGCGAACTTCTTGCCGAAATTGAAGAGCACGAGGCCGCAGTAGAGGAGCTGCAATGTGCTATGCGCGGCTTCAGTGTTCGAAAGAGGTTCGCCGACAAGCGCAAGCACTACCGCGAAAATATGCAAAAGGTCATCAAGCTACAGTCGTTCGTAAGGGCCAAGCAGCAAGGTGAGAGTTATAAGAGCTTGGTCAACGGCAAGAATCCGCCTCTGCCTGTCGTGAGAAGGCATCTCCACCTGCTAACAGACTCCAATCTTGACTACGAGGGCGAGCATGAGTCCGAGCGTCTCCGAAGACAAGTCGTGGAGAGCGTTCGTCGAAATGAGCTTGTTGAAAGCTACGTCGAAGGCCTCGATGTCAAGATCGCGTTGCTGGTCAAGAACAAGATCACACTGGATGAGGTCGTAAAGCATCAGAAGCACTTCGGCGGCTCCGCGTCCCAATTGCTGCGCTCTGGTACCAGTTTGGCCCATCCGTCTGGTCTCGATCTCAAGGCATTGAACAAGAACTCCCGGAAGAAGCTGTCAAGCTATGAAGAGCTCTTTTTCTTGCTTCAGACTCAGCCACACTACCTTGCACGGGCGTTTGGTGTCCTCACGAGCCGTGGTCTGCCGGAGAAAGACAGCAAGAATTACGAGCGACTCATGCTCACGCTTTTTGGATACGCCCAGAAGAGCAGAGAAGAATACTTCTTCATGAAGATTCTAGCAGCAAGCACGCAGCTGACCATCTCCTACTGCCCTAGCATTGAGGACTTCATGCGACAGCAGAACGGCACCTTCCAGCAGCGCCTCATCCTCAATTATGTCCGGAATCCTCGCGAACGAGCATGGCTCAAGACATTACTCGGAAGCATGGTTCGAAATGGCATTTGTGCGCAAGATCATCTGGACCTGGAAAGCGACCCGCTGCAGATCTACCGTGCTATCCTCAATAACGAAGAGCTCTCCACGGGACAACCATCGCAGCGACCACGAGATCTGCCTAGAGAAATCGTCATCAGGCAAGAGGATGTTCGACCTCGATACGTGCAGCACTTGGAAGACTTACGCGACCTTGGCGATGGCTTCTTCCTCAGCTTCGAAGAATCAATGCAGCGCATGCCATACGGACTCCGTTACCTTGCCACCGAACAGCATCGAGCTCTGTGTGCACAATTCCCGCGAGAAGATCCTGGTCACCTCGCTATGCTAGTCGGAACGTGGCTCTGGAAGTCTTACATCCTACCCGCAATGCGAGAGCCGGAGATGTGGGGAGTAGTGGATCGTGGTCTCAGCCCTGTTCACAAACGTAACTTGGCACAGGTCATCCTGGTGGTGGGACAAATCTGTAGCGCAGGACGCCTCTTCGCCGCCGAGAACCTTTACCTGCAGCCGCTCAACAACTGGGTTACAGAGTCTTTGGACAGATGGCAGGACTGCTTACAGCACCTCTTCGACCTGCCCTCGCCTGAGGAGCACTATGACGCCGATCAGTTCAGCGACTTGTACGCCACGACAAAGCCAACGCTTTACATCAAGCTGGTCGATATCTTTGCTCTTCACAGCCTCATTGCGGACAACATTTCAGCCATTGCTCAAAGCAGAGATGACCCTATCAAGGCACTGTTATCCGATCTCGGCACGGCCAAGAGCAATGAGAGTGATCTTGGCAGTGCGACCAATGGCAACGAGATTACGCTGACGCTCAAGTCCAGATTCACAGTCGAGGAGGACCCGAATGCGGAAGCTAGACAACTCTTCACGGCCACCAAAAGATTGGTGTTGTACATCATCCGTGTACAGTCAGGCACGAACCTCATGGAGATCTTGCTGCGTCCGATTACACACGAGGACGCCGATCGATGGATATCACTGGTACAGGAAGAGCTCGCGGAGAAAGAATTATCACACAGCCGAGGAGGACATCGCAGGACGACATCAGCTTTTGATGGTCGAGGCTCTATGCGATCCACCAGAGCACAATCGGTATATTCCGAAGCGCCATCAGCTCTCTCAGAGGACCGCAGAGACTTGCTTGACCTTCAAGGCATGACCTACGCCGAGTTGAAATCAACAGCTCTCGAGAACATCCTCAAACTGGAGTCACCACACGTTGCACCTCAATTCCGCGTGAGCCGACACAACAACTACCAAGAGATCCTCAACGCCCTGGCAGGCGACATCAGACAAAAGCACCGCAGACGTCTCGAACGGCAACGCGAAGTGGAATCTACGCGCGCCACCCTCTCCCAGCTCGACAGCAAAGCGCAATTCCTCGAAGACCAGCTCCAATCCTATAATGACTACATCGAACAATGCCTCCACACGCTCGCCAACAAGAAGACGGGAAAGCACAAATTCGTCATGCCCTTCACCAAACAATGGTCTCATGAACGAGAACTCGAACGTGCAGGCCGGCAACCCAAATTCGGATCGTACAAGTACTCGGCACGACAACTCGCCGACAAAGGGGTCCTATTGTCATGGAAGGGCTACTCTCCCGAACATTGGGGCAACTTGAACGTCGTCATCAGTTCCGATGAAGTCGGTGTCTTCCATCTCGAGGCCAGCTCCGGGAGCATGATGCTTCCCGGCGCCAGCGCGAATCTACTTCTTGACGATTTACTGCAAGCGCAATACGATAATAAGGCTTCGATCAGTGTGTTCGAGGAGAGTAACGGTGCGGCGAAGGTTGCCGTGAATTTGTTGCTGCATTTGGTTTTTAAGAAGTTTTATCGCGATGAGTAGTGATGCAGGGAAAGAAAAGTAAGGTTGTGAATGGGAAGTTGGGGGGGTGTGTGTTTCATGGGAAGCGTCGGCGTTGAGGTGGGGTTGGATAACAGACAGTATCAAACTTGAAGGTGTGAGAGTGTGAGTGTGAGTATATGCATAATATCCCAGGCTACTTTTCTTTTTGGTTGATCGATCGAGTAAGCATAGGCATATGTATGTGGGGTGGAAGTGGGGAGGGACTTTTAGGGTTTAGCCATGATTGAATGAAATGCAAGATGTTCAAAAGCACTATCCATATTTGCCAGACTGTCGGATGCCGGCTGTCGATGTATGGCCGCAGCGGTGAGGCTTGGAAGGTGGAATCTTCTCCATGCCCGTCGTCGTTGCTCTCTCCGAGCGATGACGTGGAAAGTGCGTATGGGCAGTGGTCGCGACTTCTTGAGTTCACGTGCGGAAAGTGGCCCCGAGAGCGTGTTCAGTCAGCTGTCGGGATGGACGGAGAAGTTTGGGTTGTGGATACAATTTTCATGATTATGCCTCGTGGCTACACTGCTATTCTGGCCCTATTCGTGGGCGTAATGCCATGCCATGCTACGTACCATTTCCCAGCTCCGTGCTATGGGTACAGACGAGAGTACAGTAAAAAGCAAAGACAGACTCTGGCATCCAGACTCATTGGGTCGGGAGGCGGAATTGATGGAGGCTCTGTAGCAGTAACAGCAGAGTGCAGTAAAAAGTACAGACTCCTTATGCAGATGCCGGTTGCGGCGAGATGATGGCATCCAGACTCATTGGGTCGGGAGGCGGAATTGATGGAGGAGGCTTGGTGGCCGTCACAGACTGCTCTGGAACCACATCTCCTTGCTGTGGGTCGCTGGAGACCTTCGGCTTCCTGGGGCCCTTCTTGATGCCAGCGTCCTTGCGCTTGTGGTGATTCTTGCTTCCGGGAGGTCTGCCCTTGCGGATCTGACCGGGTTGTGGAGAAGCGCTGTCAGGACTGGCGCTGCGCTGTGAGCTGACGCTTTCGCCGCGAAGCTCTCGAATGCGCTTGGGAACATGACCAGCCCAGCGACCGCGAGTGGCAGCCACAAAGCCGCCGTCGGCATTATTGGTAGTGCCTGCCAAGGACAGCGAAGGAGTGTTGCCACGTTCGGGTGTCATGCTGGGAGTCACGTCATCCCCATCTCCAGCGTTGCGCATTCGTGATCGCTTGCGAGGTGCTGGCATGATGACCCCGTCGAATCGAGAGACCGGCTTGATCGTGCGTCGGCCCGTCATTTCTCCGTCGCCGTAGTCGACCTGGGTGGCATGGATGTCTTTGCGATTATTGCGACGTCTCCGCAGCTCTCGACCTTCGGCGTCGCGCACAATCTTCTGTGCGTCTGGGTCCTGGAATCCGATCTTCTTGGCGTCAAAGACATAGTCGTACAGTGTCGATTCTTTCTTGTCTTCCCAAATCTCATGTGATACAGCAACGCGGCCGCCTTTGACGGGATTGCGTTCGTTGCCTTTGATGGGATTGCGAGCCACGACTTGATCCAGGAGAAGAAATTCATCTTGGATGTCCTTCAGCGCGGACTGAGCATTTGCGGCAAGTGCTTTGAGAGAACCAAGCGAACGAGATCCTGGAGCATATTTCTCCATGGCAGCGACCATTGCTTGCCATCCCTTGATTGGTCGAAAGCCATTTGCAGGCTCGCGCAACCATTTCGTCGCCTCATCGTCTGCATCTTCCTTCTCATCTTCGCTCCATTCGTCCTTCCAAAAGCTTGGCAAGTCTTCGGCCGTGAGCTTGTCGAGCTCCTCTGATAATGGTACAGGCTTCGGGGTGGGTGCCTTCGATTGTGAGCCGGATGAAGCTTTGGATGTGTCGCCACCAAGCAAGACGCTTTGCTGACTACGCTTTCGAACGATCTTGCCAGCCTTGAGCAGATGCTTGGACGCTGGAGCCTTGCCTTTGTTCGCCTTCGCTTCTCGACGCACCTGAGCTTCTGCACCTGCGCCTGCGCCTTTCGGTCTGCTTCCAATGGAGGTGCGCTGCTTCTTATGAGGTGGTGCGAGCGCGGCTCGAGCATCGGCCTCAATCTCCTCTTTCGTCTTCTGGCACCACTTTCCTCCGCCACGATAGACCCAGCGTAGTTGAGGCCATTTGTCCGGACCTTCCTCGCGACGGACTAGAGCGGTCGGTAGCGGTGCCACTTCTCCATGTTCATTGACCGGTCTGTCGTTTCTCTCCGCCTCGTCGACTGGACCCCGCACTGCGATCTTGTTTGAGCTGCCTGGCGGCGGAAGACCACGCGCCCAGCGTCCTTGGCCTCGATGATGGAAGACCTCATCAGGATGCAAGTTGACGTAGTTAAGGTCAAAAAGCTCACTCGAGTCAGAACGACTAATGCTGTGCGGTGGCTTCATCCTGGACTGGCTGCCATTGAGCGACTCCATGTCATCGCCAGCGTCGTTTCTGGAAGCGCGCTTGCGTCGCTCGCTTGTGCGCGTCATTTCGTCACTGATGTGGCTTTCAGGATCGTCTCTGCTGAAGTTGGTGCTGACTCTGCTAGAGCGCCGCTCTGAGGATGCTGTTGGAGTGGTGAAGGCGGGGTTAAGGACGTTGGTGTTGCTGTGCTTTCTCCTAAACCAGCCGCCGCCGACGTGAGTCCATTCAAACTGTGGATGCTGTTCGGTGAATTCGCGCCTCACTGTCCCATTTGGTTCAAGATCGAGAGAAGTAACGCTTGCTTTGCGCAGCAGCTTCACTTCGTGTCTGTCGGATGTTGTCGTCTTCGGATTCGGATCATAAGGAACCTTCTCGCCGTTCGCTCCGACAACAAAAGTGCCTCTCCGGCCGTTGGGTGCAACTCCACGCTTGTAATAGCTGTTGCCTTTGTGATGAAAAATGATGCCGGGATATTTGTAAAGTTCGTCGCCTTTCACTGTTTCTTCCTCGTCGACTTCTTCTTCGACTTCTTCTTCGGCATCACTGCTGCTGTACTTCACTGCCTGCGAGTGACTGGACTCGCGGCGCTTGGATCTCGTCATGCTCATTGTTCTCGAGCCTCGTCGGTAGTAACCATTTCCGGTGTGATAGAATTGTTCTTTGGGATGTGCGTCAACGTAATCTCTGGTGAATGTTCGATCGGGGCTGTCCGACACGTCCGAGTCGTCGACCTCCTCGTCTCCTTCGTCGTAATTGCTGGGTGCGTCGACCAGTCGTGAACTGCGGCGATGTTCAATGCTCGGGACAGCCGCGAGGGAAGTGGATTTGGCTTGGCGCGAAGGGCGGGCCCGCGCCTCGTGACTGTTTTCGATCGTTGTTGAAGGTGATGGAAATTCTCGTTCCATGGCTTTGACCCACTTGCGGGCGACTTCGCGGTGATTGACGTCTTTGATCTGGTCGCATGCCTTGAGCCAGTCGCTTCTTGGTGTGTTCTTGAAAAGGTCGCAAATGAGGTTGAACTGATGTTTGAGAGCGGGGCCCCGCTTTTCTCGAGCTGCTGGGTTGTGCTTGCGTCTGTGGTCGTCGATTTCTTGTGCTAATGCCTGGTACATCATGTCTGTGGTGTCTGATGTTGTTGCTGTGCGCGAGTTCGAGTGTCTAAGATGTTTGGTCAGCATGGTTTCCTGGAAATCAGGGTGCAGAGGTGACGACCTGGTCGGTCGGGGCGACGATATCACGGGGTCCGGTTTCAGTTCTGATACTGGGAGATATCGTCCTTGGCCTCGATGGATGAATTCGATTTCCGGATGCTTGAGCACATAGTCCTTGGAGTAGGTGCCGCGGTGGTTGGGGCCTTCGGTCTCTTCGACAGCGTCATCGTCGTCATCGTCGTCGTCGTCAGTCACCGCCTCATCTGCGGAGGAGTCGTCGTCGTCGTCGCCTTCGCCGTCGCCGTCGCTGGAAGGATAGTGGCTTGGCTGTGGCGCTTTGCTCAGGATTTGCCGGTGAGCGTCCTTCAGGGCGTCGGAGCCAAATCGGATGGAGAAGTAGCCGGCGACGACGTACGACCTGGTAGGCGCGGCCGGCATCGTGGACATCCTCGTCGGTCTTGCTGATGTGTGTGAGGGTGGTTGTTGGTGGGAGGCGTGCACAGGCCGTTCCGACGGACCAGCAACGAGCAGCTCCGACGACGTTGAAGACTGGTTCGATGTCGTACGTCGCATCGCGGTCAGACTGTCGCCGTACAAGTCTCTCCTCCGTCTGGGCGACGAAGTTGAGCGTGCCGGCGATCGGTCCATCGTTTCGTTGCACGAAATGATGATGAGGCCTGGCAAACGCTGCACGCTTGTTCGACGTGGTCGCATTGGGCCAAGGCCAAGGCCAAGCCAAGAAACAGGGACTTCCCGCTGCAAGCATCTCGAAGAGGACTAGCTTCTTGTTGCATGCGAAATATTTCGTCGACAACACTTCCTCCTCTCTCTCCTCTTTCCTCCACACTGGCGGTCTGATGATCTTGCTTCTCCAACAACGCTCAATGTTTGCTGTACAATTCTGGCGGGAGATTGATTTGCTGCGGTGTTTGGCGATCGGGGACGGGCTGGCTTGGCTCGCCTCTCATCTGCGTGGCAGTGATGCGTGCTGTGGAGCGTCTGCTTCACTCGATTGAGGGGTGAGTTGTCGATGAATCTGCTGCCGCTTACTTCTCTGATCCGCAGTCATCTCGCGCGCGTCGCCTGGCCACATGTCGACCGGGAAGTCCATCTTGACGCTCAGAGCCTGATGATCGGTTGAAAAGCCCCAACGCCACATTCGATCTCGTGACTGAGGAGCAGTGAAAGGGCCTGATATTGTTGCGTCTGACCATGGGCTCGGATTCTTGCCAGAACGGTCCGCTCGCTTGTCGTAGGTATCGTGGGGTTTGTTTGTTCCCTGCACCGCACGCACACAGTGCTTTGAACGAGCCCCTGATTTCGCCAAATGCATTGGTGACCTCCAGGCTTGGGCGTGTTATCTCTCACGCTGCTGCGTCGCAATCTCGCTCGCCACTAGGTCCAGAGTCCGTCCGGTCATGGAAGTCCAGTCCAGGGCAGGGCATGTGGGCAATTGGATGAGAAGGACGGGCACGTTGTGTTAGGAAGTGGAAAGGGGGTTCAACTCACCTAGGCGTCGAACGCCCACGACCACAAAGATGGCACCACAAACGCCAACAACAAAGCCACCAGGTGGCCTGGGGCCACCCACCGCTGGTGAGCGGCGACGCCGACGGCCACCACCAAAAACACGCACGCCAGGCGAGCGATGACGTCCTCAAAGGACAGTGGGTCTTCGCTCATGACCCAGTCCTTCTCGTCAAACGCTTTTGTTGGCCGTGGCGGGACACGGCTCATGGTGGCTTTGTTGTTGTTGATGATGAAGAGGTGTTGCAGAAGCGCGAGCATAGATATAACCCTCACTTCTGCAGGTGCGGATTCACTGACGACCTTGCACTCTACTGACTGCACAACGCTGCTTGGCAACCGTCGATATTTAGTGGCAAACATGGAACATCTTTACTACAAAACTCGCGAAACATTCTGCATGTGAGTGATGAAAGACGATAGTGTATTTCTAATGACAACCTAGAAGCGATAGCGTTGACAGTCAACTGTAAAGATGCACAGGGAGCGAATCGTGAAAGCGAAAGCTTGCAATCAGCAACCTCACTCCGAAGCCCGCCGCACGCCATTGAACAGTAACTGTTCGTGAAAGTCTGCAAGAACTGCCCCTTGTTCACCTTGATTGATGGCTTCGCAACTATCTCACTCGATCAACAACCCTAGGATTGGCTGGCAAAGCCATGAGGTATGAGCGAGGAGCACGTGTATGTTTACTGGGGAGTTGCATTGATAGCTGGCTCTCACACTGTGGTCTAGATCGTGACGTGGTAAATCCGGCACTCTGCTCGCAAAACTCTGCACGCTTCCACCAGCGGAATGGCGACAACCTCCGAAGATCGATCGGTCGGCCGAAGACGGTGAACACAGCCGACGCGAGCACGATCGATCAAGTCCTGACCTCTACCACCATTCCCTTCGAACCATGATCAATACATGCACGCTGAGCAACTCCCTCCATCTCGCCAAGAAGCTGGACGCGACCCTGTGCGAAGCGCCGCCTTGCAATATTTTTATAGCAAGCCAGCGTGCGCCGGAGCCATGAAATCGGCCGAAGGACCCATGGCATATGTATGGAGTGTTGTCGGAAGAGCAAAGATATCAGAGACACGCACAACTGCGTGACATGATCTTAGGCGTGATCAATCGCTTGGATTAGAGAGAGGAACTTGACAATTCCGAATACTGCTGCTCGCCTAGAATGGTCTTCTCCAACAGAGCCTTCTCACCGCTCTGGTTGACAAGCTCCCGGAAGACACCCTTCTCAATGGCAAGCAATTCTTTCGGTGTTCCAAGCTCGACAATCTCTCCATGGTCCATGACCAGTATACGATCGAAGTCTGCAATGGTGCTTAATCGATGCGCAATCACGAGCAAGGAGCTCATGTTACGTCCGAATTCAGATCGAATGGCCTGCTGGATGTACCCATCGGTCTCCATGTCAACAGACGATGTGGCTTCGTCGAGAATCATAATCTTTGGCTGCTGGAGAATGGCTCGTGCCAAGCACAAAAGTTGACGTTGTCCTTGTGAAAAATTTTCGCCTCCTTCCGATACAGGGGCATTCAGCGCAAAAGAGGTGGAAGTGTCGTTCGCAGATCCAAGGTGCACTCGCTCCAAAGCGTCATTCAACTCTGCCTCGGAATACCAGTCGAATGGATCGAGATTCGACTTGATTGTTCCAGTGAACAAAGTTGGCTGTTGTGGAACAATGGCCAGAGCGCGTCGAAGCGCATGGAGTTTCAGCTTCGCGCTGTCCAATCCATCGATCGTGACCTGACCTTCGCTCACATTCATGAATCGGAATAAAGCAAGCGCGAGCGTTGACTTTCCAGCACCTGTTCGACCAACGACACCCATACGCTCGTTGCTCTTGAGAGTGAATGAGAGTTTTTTCAGGACGGGAGGCAGCTCTGGCGCGTAGCTGACAGTAAGATTGTCAACTACCATTGTACCTTTACTCGGCCACGATGCCGGCGGCTCGTCGCCATCTTTCGGCTCGGTCCTGATATCAGCGTAATCGATCACACGCTCAGTGGCGTTCATGCCCATTTCGAAGTTGGCGTAAAATCGAATCATGTCCGATACGGCCTTGCCATATTGCAACAACGAGCTGATAGCGAAACCGGCCAATGAAGCAGACACACCAAGTTTGACGACAAGGAAGGCGACTGTGACCAGGAAAAGACTACCCAGGAGGTTGATGCGAAGCTGAAGCCACCAGTTCAACAGCCAGAGATGCCATGATGCTTTGGCGTAGCCATCGATGCGAGCTAGGATGATCTTCGTATACTTTCGCGTCTGGTCGAAGGCTCGAATGGTCGTCAATCCCAGCAAGCTTGATGTGAACTGCTCCAGAATTGGACTTCTTGATACGCTCTCCAATCTCTTCGCCTCTCTAGCGGCTCGAAGGTATATGACGGCCAGCATCATGGAGCCAGCAGACAGGATTAATGCTGGCACAAGGACGATGAGTGAGACAAATATGCTCGCAATCACAACACCGACGACCTGGAAAAACCACAAAAGGACATCCGCTGCATCGCTTCCGAGAAGATTATCCATGGTGTACACGTCGGCCGTGAATCTATTCAACACTCGACCCAGCGGCACCGTATCGACCCATCGAAGTGGCGCCGCCAAGACAGCCGACAGCAGGCTCTTGAAGAGTGCCTGGGATGATCGCAAAGACGCAGTGCGGATCAGCATGAATCTTAAGGTGCCGACTACGCCAGCAGCAAGCGATAGGCCAACATATACACCAATATAGAGCCCCAGATTGTCTGGTACTGTCACGGTGGCGAGGCGCTGCTGGGTGAGGGCAGCAACGGATTGAAGCGAGGTTTCGTGCTCGCCATACAATTGTGTGCTGCTCATCCCACCACGGGTCCAAATGTTCAGCCAGTAGCTTCGACCAAAGCCAAACAACATGAACAGCAGGGCAGCAAGGACGCCTAGGGCCCACAGCCAAGGAGACAACTCGCCAGTGAAGAATTTCCAGTACATGCTCAGTGGAACAGATCCGGCCGCACGCTCTTCCTCGGGGCTGAACTTGCGACCTTCCTGCTCATCGTCCTTAGGATCTCCGTGTTTCGCAACGGCTGTTTCTGAGTTCTCACCATCGCCCTTCTCCTCGCGATCTCCCGCGACGAGCAGCTTGTCGAACATCTCATTTCCTTTCAGCTCGGGCACGGATCCAGAACAGGCGACGGACTGGTCTGCCAATACTACGCAGAAGTCCGTTTGTGGCACGACAAGGGCGATATGATGGGTACCCAGAATCCTGGTCCTGCCTGCAGCAAGTGGTCCAGTGAGACCGTGCTCGTATACATGGTGGCCAGTACCAGCGTCGAGAGCTGAAAAGATGTCATCCATGATCAGAATTCCTGCTCTCGAGTAGAGTGCACGCGCAAAGGAGACACGTAGACGCTGGCCACCGCTCAGATTTACGCCATTGGCACCAATGTCTGTGCGGTCTCCGTCTTCCAAAATCTCGAGATCTTTCTCCAAACCAGAGCTAAAGATCACCTGTTGGTACCGCTGTCGATCGAATGGCAAGCCAAAGACGATATTTTGCCTAACCGTGCCATTGTCAGTCCAGGCACTCTGGGCGACATATGCGATGGCTGAGTCGATGATCCAGTCTTCTGCACTGCCTGGCGGCTCCCTCCAAGCTTCGGGCGAACTTTCCGGGACTTTCACTGAGCCAGAAACGACGTCGCACTCTCCGAGAATTGAAGAAAGCAGCAGTGACTTTCCAGTACCAGTGCGGCCGGTCACGACAGACAGTCCTTTTGACGGAAATTCGACGCTGATTCTGGAAATACGATACCCAACGTTTTCGCTTCCTTCAGTCACCGGCCAAGCGATGGTCGCATCATCGAAAACGATGCTAGAGGCCGCGAAAGACCGAGTTGATGATCTGTCAGGACTTGCCAGAAATTTATCGATTCGATCAACGCTGATTTTGGCTTGCAAGTTGGGGATGATGATGTGTGGCAGTGCCGACAAGGCCACTTCCAATAATCCGAATGTTGAGACGGCCGTGAAGGCGGTGGATGCTTCCAGGTTGCCGTAAATAAGGGCATAGACTGTCAGAGCAACAGCTGATAGCAGGAGTGGAGCAAGCGTCCAAGTGAACTGGAACGCTGTTTCGAAACAAATGCCTTTGAAGGTAAGGCGCATTTCCTTGCCACGAACTTCAAGCACCCGATCTTCCCACGGCGATTCCACGGACGAGAATTTTATCTGCCGGATGTTTTTAGTCACCTCATGAACAATTGCAGTCCGTTGGTCTCGAGTGGCCATCAACGTCTTCTGGAAGGCTCCGTAATGCTTGGCAATATACCAGCTGATGGGACTTAGCAACAAGTTTGCTCCGAGACCAGCCAGTAAGCTCTGCCATCCGATCAAGACCCAAAGGAATGCGCAGCCAAATATGAACTGTGTGACTGAGGACGGAACCAGGTGCTGATATGAGACGGCATCAGAGATGCGCTTGGTATCCACTGTGACCAGGTTCAGCGTCTCTTGCTCTCCTTGTTCCTGGAGTTTGTCGTCCGACTCTTCGCCACCCTCCGATGCTGGCGCAGCTCTGTGGACGATCTTGCGACGCATTCCTTTGGCATACAAAAGAGCCAACAATTCCGAGTACAGTGGAATGGCCAATCGCGAATATGTGATCCACCAAAGCCACGATGTCACGCTAGATGACAGAAACATTGTCACACCTAGCACCGCTGCCCATATATTTGCGGTTTGCAAAGATTGAGTCTCGAGTGCTCGCAGGATTCCATACAGCGCGAGCTGTGGACCGAAGCTGAGCAGTCCGGAGCCAATTGCGAGCGTGAGCTGGAGCATCAATGCGCCAAAGTGAGCAGTGCACATTGCTCTGAACAGCGTTCGGCCGTCCTTTCTCGCATCTTCAAGCGTGCTGTAAAGATTGGCAGAACGAGCTTTGGCCGGCAGTTGTGGGAAATCCTTCACCTCCGTCTTGCCTTGATTCTTGCCAGTCCGCCACACCAATGATCCTACATAGCTGAAAGTGAGCCTACTCCACATGCTCACGGTATGTTCTTGGTCGACTATGTGTCCTTCGTGGTAGACATCTGGTCGCCGAGGAACCAGAATGCAGCATATTGCTCGAAGTCCCGCGACTGTGGTGATTGCGACTTGCAACGAAAAGTCGGAGGGACCTTGATTTGATCGAGCATCTGGACTGTCGCATGCGGCGGCAAGAATGATTATACCAATACTCGTCCAGAAGGAACAGTGTGCGATCATGAACCTCCGTGGCATGGACGGCTCTAAGAAAAGAAGTATGGAATGTGCAATTGCCAGTATCTATCGAAGGTCAGCACTTATTCACCCAAGTCTCTACCCGAATCGCTTACCCATCCAGCCAATTGGCACCAGATCAGTGGCTCCAGGGTATCCTCATGCCTCTCCGCAACAGCATTGAGAACAACTCCAGCTATTCCACAGCCCAAACCAGCCACCGACAAAATCCCAATGCTCCATCTCGCTCCCTTATCCTGGATGTTCGCGCTCGACCCAGCCTTCGAAGCTTCACCATCTTCATCGATATAACACTCCGCCGTCTGTGAAGATGATCGCCTTGAAGCAAGAAATCCATAGACTAGGGGAAAATTGCTGAAAAAAAAAAGTGTCACCGCAACCGTCAGCGCGGTGATGATGGAGACGTCGTCCATCTTTGACTGCACTACTGGGAATGCACACATCTACTGTACCAAGGATATTCACGGGAGAAAGGCCGCGCCTCGCAATCGCAATCGATAACTCAGAGCTTCCCAGGCTCAAGGCTCACTTCGGCGCGATGCATCACCGTGCGGCGTGCGTTCGACGGACTGAGGCTTCTGCACCCGCAGGTTCCATCGAACCAGTTCTCGGCGCTCGGGCCCTGCACGTTGACCGCGGCGTTTGAGTTATCTGTTATCTTGTTGAGGTGGCATAGAAACGCTATTATAGTGCAGTCTGCAGATCTTTGCAATGGCCGAAAGAGGGCACTACAGTGGAGCTGTTTGCATACCAGTCGGTTTCAGTGGAACGGACTAGAACCATACCAACGCGATCTGTTGTAAAATCCGTTTTGTTATGCTGTTATAAGCTCTGAAAGAATTGGAATACCCGGAATACCGCCCCTAAAGCGGGTTAGTACTACATACATACATGAGGGCTAGGTTTTGGCTAATCGCTGCTGGAACAGGACGCGCTAGTCATGTTCGCCTAGACTGACGGTAATATCTGATCGATCGACACGGGCTCTCGGATCTTGCAGTATGAGCTGGAGCGATTGCATAGCGCGATTGATTGCGAAAATAACGAGACGACCAGCAACAAGCACTGCAAGCGAACGACTGTCCAAAATCACGAGCTTTGTCCCATAAAGCTATCTACAGCGCAGCGAACAAGCTGTTCGGACGCCTTCTGAACGAGATCCCAGCTTTCATTGGGGGCATGATGACTTCCCCCGTGATTGTATTCTCCGGCCTCTTTTGCAAGTATTGGAAGTCGTAGTTCATCACCAAGTATGCAAGCAGAAGCTTCATTTCCAGGTTGATGAAGAACCTGCCAGGACAGGCATGCCGACCATGCCCAAATGCAAGGAACCTATCACTCGTGCTGATGAGTGACAAGCTCTGCGACTTCAAGTAGTCCTCTTGCTCTCTCGCCCTGCTGAAACGAAACGCATCATATCTGTATGGGTCGGGATAGATGGCTGGATCGTGGTGTCTCGTCCAGACATCGGTAGCTATCAGGGATCCATAAGGAGCTGTCCAGCCTTCCTCATCCTTCAGTCCATTCTTGTCGATGACTTTGCGCTGGACTCCGCGAACCCCGAAGCCGGAGACTCGCATGCTTTCTCGGATTGCAGAATCTGTCTTCACCATTCTTGCGAGGTCTTGCTTCGTCCATTGCCCGTTCGCTTCTCGATAGACGGTCTCAGCCTCTTCTCGGATTGCCTCAATGTACCCGAGCTTCGGATCTGAGCCAAGCAAATCAAGCAAAATATTCGCGATCGTGAACGAAGAGGTGTGAATTGCCGCGAACTCCAATGGCATCAATCTTCTCGTGATCCAGTCCGCATCATACTCCTTCGCATCGCCGCGCTCTTTCGCCAAACGAATCTGCCAGGTCAAGTAGTCGTCCGGAATGTCGGTATGGCCCTTCTCCTCCGAATTCTTTCCCTCGTGTTCGATATCAGCGAGACGTTTCTCTATCACTGGCAGGGTCATTTTTTTGCATTGCCAAACGACCAATCTATTCGGGATAGATGCCAGATGCCCCACGATTGGCTGCATGAGTTTCGGTGAAAGCTGCACCAACATAACGACAAACATAACACCTGCGGCGAACCTGGCTTGTAGATCCCGAAACTTCGCGTTCCTGCAAAGTGGCAGACCGACGATCATTCGATTCGAGATCGCGGCTGCGATGTCAGTCATGGCTTCCAGAACATGGATCTCTTTCCATTGTTCGGTGTTCCGGCCCAATGTGTTGTCCACCTGAAACTTCACTTCGTCCCAGGTCGGAGGAATCAGATTCGCCAACTTGCGGCCTAAGTTGCGGTGTATGACTTCTTCGTGGAAAGGGTGGTGCAGCAACTTTGGATCGGTGAATGCGTACTGCCCAGCCAGCATGTCGAAGTGGGCCTCCACGTTACTGGCTTTGCTGTCTGGGTGATCGAGCAGCCATGGCAGCTTGTTGCTCGGGATGATGACCTCTGAAACGCCATTCAGGGTTGGAAAGACGTAGCTCTTGCCTTTGCTAAGATACTGTGTAGCGACTCAGTCGTGTGCGGGCGAAATGGAGAAGCAACAAGGGTCCTCACTCTGTGATATCCTTCAGCAAGAAACTCGCGCTGGTGTAGCAGACATTGTATGGCTGCTCGAATCTCCGAGAATGGACCACGGCCTTTGCGGCCGACCCTGCGCCAATGTCAGACATTTTCGAAGTTGCGCTGTGAATGGGAATTCATACCATGGTAAGTCTCTCGGGACGATGGCATTTGACGTGAAGGCGGAATACGTGGTGTAGCACACCAAACATAATGCTGCAATCAACCACCACGAAGCACCATCAAGCTGGTCAACAACATTCTCTATCGTCGATCCCGCCATCTTCATCACAAGATGCAGACAACGTCCAGCGTCCAAGCCAAGCGTAATTTCTCTCAGGAGCTCTCGGCATCGCCAGCTGAAGTCGATCCATCAGTGCATCTCTGGAGGGGTACAACGGTCGTGCCAACGACCTTTCGTCAGTTCGGCACGCAACGGCACGCTATCTTCGCCCAATAAGTTCGCGCGAGTCACATGCAAGCCACCGGAATCTGCAATGTCCAAAGGCGGTACAAGATCGGCCTCACGAACAGGATTGCGGTACAGGGTGTCATATGCATTCGTGAAGCCGCTTAGTAGTGCTTCCTTCCCGCCTACTCGTTGAAGGCCGAGGTCCTCTTGGATGTCAGGAATTTTAGCGTACCACTTTTCTGCTGTGGCTTGTTCTACAGTGCCCTGAACTACACAACTACAACCCTCCTCCTTCTAAGTATACCCTTGCTATCTCTCTAGATACTAACTTCTATATACTCTAAAAGGTTAGGGGATAGAAGGGTTAGGAAAGGTTAGTAGTTAGAAAGAGTTAGTATTTAGAAAGGTTTAGTAGTTAGAAAGGATTAGTACTAGATTGCGATATAGTTAAGGGAAGACCTAGCTATAGAGTAGATATAGGATAGTAAGGACTTTAAGTAAATAGATTATAATATAGGAGTACTTCTAGCGCTAATCTAATACTATTCTTAAGCTCTACGCCGTCGCTCTACTTAACTACTAGTAGAATAAGTACTATAGGGCTACTATACCTCCGTTATAGTAGCTCTATACTTAAGCCTTCGGTAATTCTATATAGTAGCGAAGGGACCTAAATATAATATCGTACTAGCGGCTACATATCTAAGCTACTAAGAATAGCCTTTATAGACCTTAGCGAGTAGTAGTTAGTATAGATTATATACGCTTTCGCTCTAGCGCGTCGACGCGCTTTCTATTATTTAGGCGCTTATTTTATATATCTATTCTAATCTTACTATCGCTCGCTATTATATTAATTCTATCTCTTCTAATATAGCCTTATTTACTAAAAATGCCTACTATTAGCGACCTCGTCGGAGATAGTAATAGTATACTTACCTCGTAGGCCTAGAGCGATTTCGCGCTAGAGGATAGTATATAGGCTTTACTTAGTAGTAAATAGGTTAGAATCGCTAATATATCGATAGACGAATTAGGGAAGGACAATATAGCTAGTTCTAGTAATAAAGACGCGTTAGATTTATTAGAGTCCTCTACGCTATACTATAAGCGTATTTCTCGGATTCCTATAAACCTAGAAACTATATATACTTCTTTACTATACGTCGATAACCTCTATAAATAGCGCGAACGAGCTATTTTTTATAGATTCGACGACTCGTTCGAAGTATTAGCTAAATAATAGTATGCGCTACTACTATACGTCGATAATATATAGGTAAAGGATAGGGTCTATATCGAGAAAAACAGATTAGAAATAACGCGTTTTATTTACTACTTCTATAAACAACTATACTAGAAATTAGACTAGAAGTAAGGCTTCGGTTAGTAAAGATATAATAAAAAGATAGAAGTAGCGCGTTACTATCTAGTTATAATAAAGGTTATAAGTACTTATAGTCCGACTAATAGTAATAGTAGTAAAGAGATTATTACGTATTAAGTATAGTATATTAGTCGCGAGGACTACTCGGACTACTATAAATTAGATAACTTTAATATCTTCTGTCGATATAGCGTATTATTAACCGCTATAGGTTAAGAGATATATTATAGATATACGGCGAGCTTAGTATAGAAGGTATTAAAGGCAGTATACGACTTAGTCGTAAACGTGCTCTTTAAGGCTACTAATAGCGACTTTATAATAAAATACGACGTACTAAACTCTAGTAGAGCGTTCCGAAAGATATATAAGGACGGTAGGCTTAGCGGCGCGTTACTAGTATAGTAGGCGTAAAAGGAAGACTTATATAAGTAGTATTAATAAGGTAAGTTAATATTATTACTTTTACTAAGGTTAGATTATAAGCCTACGGACTACCGTATCTACGTATCTAGACTCTAATTAAATAATTGTTATAGGTAAGTAACGCATACGTAGATGCTAGATATAAGACTTAATAGGTTCGATAAAGAGCTAAGTCTATCTACGTAAATCCGAATAGTTTTATATAGTGCGCTAAGCGCTAAGTAGTAGGTTAGAGTCGCGTAGGCCGAATGCCTAAGGCTAGCGCTTTCTACCTAGGGCGTAGCCCTTTATATTACCTCCGTCCTCCTCCCCTTCCTTAGTAGGGATAGAAAGCCCTCTATAGTTTCTATCGCTATTACTTTATCCGTTAGATCTGCACCTATCTAAGCTTCTCTAGAGTAACGCGCTCGTAGTTTCCTCCTTTACGATCGAGGTTTCCGCTACTTTCCGGTCGGGGTTGCCGTACCTAGGGTTTTAACGACTATAACTTTTACCGCCTTCTAGAACGCGCCGTAACTGCGCTTTTAAACGCTTTACTTATAATCGCGCTTTCCCTTACCTTTGCGACCTTTACTTCGGCGTCGCCTTCTAGGAGTATTAATATTTCCCTTTTCTTCTTCTTCCTCTTTTCTTTATATATATCCCTACTACTACTACTACTACTACTACTACTACTACTAATACCGTAAGTCCCTCCCCTTCCTCCTCGGTTCCTTTCGCAAAATTAACTTGTTCTAGATAGCTCGTCGAATTTACTATATTAGTTGCTATAACTCCGGCGAAGACTACGCCGACTAATCTATAAGGTTCCCGTCCGATTTATTATAAAGTACGCTAACTTTTCTTAAGCCCGCTAGCTCGAGGGCTTACGCTAATTGCGCTTATAAGAGAATTGCTTGCGCCCTACTATAAGTTATCGCAATTCCTATACCGAATCTCTTACTAACTATTTAGTCCTTAAATAGCCTACGTAGCCTACGCTAGCTATATCCGCGCGACCCGCGCTAATATCGCCGAGAAGCACTCCGAGCTTCTTAAGGTTCTTAAGGCCTAGAAAGCTCTTAAGTCTCTCTAGCCGTAAGGGTTGTTATCTAGGTAAGATTCTCCGTTTCTTGCGATAAAACCCTCGCTAACCGTTTGTTTTAGCGCTATCGCCTTAGAGGTAACGAACACCGTCGCTAATGTCGTAGCTTAATAGACTTAGACGTAAGTTCCTCGCTACCCTTCGACTTTCTCTCGCTAACCTCTCTTTTTTAGTAGTATTCCGACTGCCCTCTACCTCGCTAATAATCGTCTAGGTCCGCTAGAGGAGTAAAGGTTTCCGTAGGTTTTCTAGGGGGCTCTAGGTAGTTTCGGATATATTATTATTATTTTTTTTATAGTCCTAAGGTAACCTTCTAACTTCGGGCAGAGACCCGATACTTACTTATAAATACCTAAATGAAATTCTTCTTAACTCTAAATTATGTTTCTCTTCTCTAGTATTCTAGTAAACCTAAGTCTAATAAGTTAGTAAGAAAATCCAAACTCTAGAAGTTAGTAAAAGTCCCTAGAATCTATAAACCCGTTACTTTGCGGAAAAACTCTAGGTTACTACGTTATTTCTTCCGTTTTCCTCTCTTCTCCTAATCTCCTAGAGGCCCGTCGTTCTCCTCGATTTATCTATATTTCGCTTTAAAGTCGTCTAGCGCGAAGGTATCTGCGATATAGTCTAGGGGTTCCTACGTAGGTTTATAGTACCCGCTCTATTTTACGAGTGCTTCTCGCCCTCGGCTTTACTTCTTTTTTCGGGTATATAGGATTTCTTCGACCTACTACTCTTTATATATCTCGAATAAGATAGGGTCCGGCTATTCGTCGTCGGTTATCTACCCTAGAAGAGAGTCCTAGCTCGCAAGTCTTAGAAGGTCGGTATAGAATACTAGGTAAATATTACTAGGTATTCCCGAGAGTTATACTAAGATAGGCGATAATACCTCTTCTACTATATACTTAGCGTACTTCGAGTCGAGGCTCTTCTTTAGTCTACTAGTCTAGTAATTCCTTAGGTCGAGCTAGACCTTATCTTCGATATAATATACCGGCGCTAGAGTTCTAGTCTTATTCGCGCTATTCTCTTATTTCTATACGGCTTCCGCTATTTATACTTAGTATAGATCTAAGATCTTCTTAATCTTGTCTACGAACTCCTCCGCCCGTTTCGCTATAGTTAGCTATCTATCGATAGCTAGGTCCTCTTCTAACGCAACGGGGGAGGTAGATTCGTAACCGTAAGTCGCGAAGAAAGAGCTTATTCCTAATCCTGCTTAGTATCATCCGTTAAACGCTAGTTCTACCGTAGGAAGCTATTAGTTCTAATCGGACTATATCTAGTTAATATAGTTCCGTAGGTAAGCTTATACGTCTTAGTTTACGCGCTCTAGACCCCCGTTAGTTTATAGGTAGTAGGCGGAGCTTAACCTCTGCTTTATACCGAGTAGTCGATATATCTCCCTCTAGAAAGTGCTTATCTAATTCGTACCTCTATCGCTAGTAATAGTACGAGGTAGTCCGTAATGCCTAACCTAGTATTTTAGAAACAAAACCGCGTATTCCTCTACTTTTATAAAGGGAGTACCGATAAGAGCGATCTATTTACTAAGGCGGTCTTTAATTACCTATAGATACCGGTTCCTATCTAACTCTAGTAGGTTAGTTATAAAGTCTATCGAGATTTCCTAGAAGAAATAGTCGGGTACTAGTAGTAGTTTTAGGAGGCCGTGTTTGTATTCCCTCTATACCTTATTGCGTCTATAATAGTTGCAGTTCCGTAGGAATTGCTATACCTGCTTCGACTATAGCGGCTAGTAAAAG